CATGGCATGATACTACTAAATGCATAGAACAAAAGTCCTTTACTGACCATGAGCCAAAAAGGATCATAAGATATGATGGCACCCATGTAAACATGGCAAGTTATATGACAGATTCATACATGGCAGGAACAACAATAAGTAGGCATGTAGATGAGCTTGTACCACTCACCACAGAGTAATACATGGCATGTAAAGGTGACCAACAGTAAGAAGACACATTTATGAAGCTAATCATGGCAAGAACAAGTTCGTAGGGTGCATGGATCACTAGCAAAGCTCATGGCAAAAACTGAACTTAATGTTAACAGGCTGACAACAACATTATTTAGCAATTTGGGAGCAAGATTACAACAAGTTACAGCAAGCTATAAATGCACCCAGGGGCATGGATGGATAGAACATGACACGTATAACAAAACATCATTAGTGATCATTTCCAGATTATGCATACAATGACCTGTAGCAGCAGGTTTACATAGCATCACAAAATAACAGATTCAACCTAGCAAAACAGCAATAGCAAGTACCCTACTTAACAAGCTTGATGCACTCAGTACAAGACTAATAAAAATACATGGATTGCACCCCTGTAAATATGGCATGATTTAGTTCAAAACACATGTAGAGCTCATGCTCATAGGATGCACACATCAAATGCAACAAAAAAGATAAATCATCAAGTTATAACAGTTTCAGCAGATTAACATCATATAACACTTGCAACGATGATTCGGGCATCAAGATGATCTCAAACAAGCATGGCACAATGGAACAAAATGAAGAGAATCTCATGATGAACATTTTGATATATTAGCACGCACGAAACAGAGCAGTATGCAAAGAGATATGTGCGATGAACAGGGGTCCAAAATGCAAATAATTTCAGGACTTGGCAGTTTTCTGGAAAAAAATGGACGAGCGCGGGATAACTAAAATGCGACCGGGCGGGTTTTAGGCGGGACTCACCTAGCGGGCTGAGCCCAGGTTGGCGGGGAGGGGCTTGGTAGGCCGGCGCGCTGGGCTGGCGGCCTGGCGCTGCTGGGCCGGGGCCCACGTGGCCCAGGCGGGCGAGGGAGAGCACCCTGCTCGATCCCGACGAGCAGGAGGCCGGCGTCGGCGATTGATCACCTCCGATGGAGCTCCGGCGAGGCTCGAGACGGCGCGGAGGCACGGAAGAGGTGGATCCGCAGCGGTGGAGGGCAGATCCGGGCGTGGGGGGTTCCGTTCCCGGC